AATCTTTTTTTTTTTTTTTAATTTATAAAGACTATATTGATGATAGGAGACAGAATATTAAAGGTTTGATTTCCAAGATATATGTATATGTCTTATTAAACTTCAGTGGAAAGCTATACTTTTTCATTTATAATTATATTATATATATATTAAATATTGTATTAAATTTACATTATATTAAAATTATATTTTATATAATAATGTAATATAATTAAAATTATATTTTATATAATTCTAAACATTTTATATTTAGAAATCCATTAATACAAATACATTTTAAATTTTTCTCTTAATATAGATATACTTATGTGTGTGTGTGTATATATAAACACACACACACACACACACACACACATAATTATTGAGAAGACTTGTAATTGAAATATAAAGAAATAAAGAAATTCGTCTCTTTAGTAAGAAAAAAAAGAAAAGAAAAAATAATAATTATAATTCAATGTTTTTCTATGTCACTATTTCTAATTTATTTCAAGTTCTCTTTTGCTCAATCCTTTGAATATATGCCAATCCCCCCACAATCCCATCTGCCTGAGCAGGTGCACACATCAGCCCGTACCTTTACAGATGCCGTATTCATCTCCATAATCATCCTCATCCTTGTAGAAGTCGCAGAAGAGTCCCGGTCCGCACTTGACGCCGTGCATCCCGGACACGGTGCGGTAGCAGTGCTCTCCCCGTCCCGCCGCGCAGACCTGGCAGCATCCGCAGTCATCCAGCACCGTGCGCCTGCAGCGCTGCGTCGAGCCGCACAGCGCGGGGTTGCATTTGTCCGGACAGTTGACGGCGTATTTACCACCGGGACCCCACGCGTCAGCATCTCCGAGCACCATCAGCAACAACACCGGGATCGCGTACAAACGCATGACTTGAAGTGCTAGCGAACACCGCGCTGGATGCTGTCCTCGGGTCTAGTGTACTAGGGAGGAGCTGTCCTCTTCTTAGATGCGATAGTGAATGAAACAGCTCGGGCTGCATGGCTGTCAGCTTTAAACAAGTTTGTTTTGCACATAGTATGCCCTCGTCAATTTCCTCAATCCGGTGTTGTTGTCTATTTGCCAGCCTCCCCCTTCCCTGTTTTAGAAATCCGGCGTGGAAGTGGAATTAGAGCCGTGCTGCCATCCAGGAATTGATGTCGTCACTGAAGTCTGGAGTTGTTTGTGTGAAGGTTTTTCAAGATGACCCTCGTGACCCCCACGGCTGCTAGTTCCTAACGTGAACGTGCATGACAAGATGTTTTTGGTAGCGTTAAAATTGTCCATAGGAGAGTCAATTTAAGTGTCTTCTGAGACTTGATTTACAGTATAAAAAAAAAAAAATTTCACAAATTATAGACCATATATATATATATATATATATATATATATAACAATAATTTTATATATCGTTTAATAACAAGAAGAGTGTCTTTGTACACATTAATGGATTCATACTGTGTAAATATAATATGTCCAAACTTCAGCTTTAATTCTTTTAACATTATCTGAACAATTAAAAGAAGAGGCCCATGAAAATATTGAAACATGTCTTGAAAGCAGTGATGGAATGTAACGAAGTAATAATACTTTGTTACAGTACTTAAGTATTTTTTGGGGAGTATCTGTACTTTACTTGAGTTTTTATATTTCAGCCAACTTTTACTCCACTACATTTCCTAATTAAAATGTATACTTTTACTCCGATACATTTCCCCGAAGCATATTTGTTACTTACTACAAAATAGTCAGAAGTCCGAAGAACACGTACTGCAGGAAAGCAGGTTTGACGAATCAGTTTTCTGGCGTTTGCAAGTTAGACTCCTAAAAACACCTTCGCTCAACCGCGGGTGATTTCATTTTCCACTCAAGTCGAGTCTGGGTTGGCAAAAATGCTTCTGTATGCTTTTTATATTTATATAATTTAATATAGTTAACTTAATCTATATCACACAAAGAGTGCCGTTTTTCTGCAGATATCAGCATGATAACATATGTAATAATCATTTTATACAAGTTCAGTAAACTTAGCAATAAGTGACTTACGTTTTAGACATAATATTGCTTGTTTTTGCTCAATGTTGCCAACGAAAATAATTCCAAACAAAGATCACAGCACCGTTTTGTGTCTCTGAGCAATGGACGGTGTTTACTTATTGAATGTTACCCAAAAATACAAAATGGAAGAAAGAGTTAAAACTGAACACAATCTTGCTACTCAAGCTGTGTATGAACATTTTATACATATATTTTTTTTTTTGCTTCTTTTCATTTTGCATTTACTTGTACTTTTACAGTACTTTCAATACTTACGTACGTTTAAGATTAAAAAAATACTTTTCGTACTTAAGTACAATAAATATCACATACTTTAAGACTTTTACTCAAGTAATATTTTAAACGGTTACTTCAGCTTCTACCAAAGTCATTTTCTGGTAAGATATCTGTACTTTTACTTGAGTATGGCTTTCAGGTACTTTATACACCACTGATTGAAAGTCATAATCGTGACCCATTTTAGTTCATGGTATAGACAAAATGGGCCAAACTTCATAAAATAATCTGCAATTCTCTGCCATTTTTTCTTAATCTGACATCTAGATACCATTTATGATGCTTTCAGAAATTTAAATGTTATTAACACTTTGACCTGCTAGAAAATGTCGTCTTGAAATAGTCTCATTTTATTAAGTTTACAAAACAGAATTCCGTTGAATATTAATGAGACATCTGTATATACACCATATATGTTGAAAGTTAAACTCTTTAGACTCGTTCCGGCAGTCAAAGTCCGATCTTGTCTTCATAAATATATAAATTGGAAAAGAACACGCTCAGGGGCTGCAATGCAGGATATTTATCACTAGATGACAGTGTTGCATAAAACAACGGCAGGAGAGTCAAGTGAAGGTTTTGACAGGATGTTAACGAACTACACTTTAGTATGCTCCTCACGTTAAGTAATTTTGTGGCGTATAGATGACTTTTGGTAGAGCGTAGTCGTATAAATGACTTTTGATTCTCTTATGGTGTTTGTTTGCGTTTAACCACATCCAACCACCCGTATGCTCCCCAGACTCCAGTCCAGTAGTTGGCGGAAATGCACCATAAGTTGGTTTGCCAAACGCCAGAACAAACAGTGCTGTGACTGTCTCGATCAAGCTTTGATTGTAAACACAGCTCACCTATTTTTCTGGGGTTTCATATTTTTGTTCGTTACTTTGTTGAACTTGAATCTTCATATGTCGTCGAGGATCTGGTGTAAGCTTTTATCGTTTTTTAATATATGCAGATCTTATCTTACTATGAATGATTTCACTTTTCTTTATAATATCGCTTTACTGGCATTAACTGACAATTTAATTTAAAAAAGCTACAATTTATATAGGGTACAAATGATAGCCGAAAAACCCATTCCTTAAAAAAAAAAAAAAACACATTATCTATGGGGTTTGTTTTATATTTGACATATTTATATATTTTTCTCTCATTCTCACCGTTTCCCTTTAGATAATATCTGTGGGCTGCAGTAGTGGTTGGTGTATCTCAGATGGGACAAGTGGAACTTGTGGAAAACTCCCTTTTTTAATCGATGTTCTGTCCATTTTAAAGATAACTGTTTCTTTACAAATAGTCTGGGCCAAGTGTGCCTACAACTGTTGCCATATTTTCCTTCCCTGACTGCTTGCAGAAATGATCACAACACACCAGGCCGAGGAGTGGGGATGACATATTGAGAAACACTAAAGCTATGGAGGAGATTTTGGGAGTTGTTGTTGTTCCTGAAGTGCATGAAAGCAGTGGGGCCTCAGAGATTCATCCCAGTGGACGATGTAGCATTTCATATAGCCATGAACCCTGTCAAATTTCTGTGTCATCAGACGCTGTTTGTGTGGATGGATCACACATACATGGCCGAAACACCAGAGACACTGAAGAATAATTTAAACTTGGACAAGGGTAAGCTCACGGCTTACAGGAAACGGCTGAAACTGCAGAGCGCTACGATTAGAAGGCTGAAGAATAAAGTGACTTCATTGTACTTAATCCTTTCAGAATTAAGACAAGAGAAAAGACTTTCATTTCACTTAATTATAATGTTTTGTTTTTTGTTTTTTGGGGGGAAATAAGTTATGTCTCAGTATGCCTTTGTTGGAGGTTTTGCAGTTAAGCAACATTAATGGAATGGGGCTCCAAATGACAAAAACACCATAAAAGCATTAAAGTAGTGGTCTATACGAATCATGTACTATATTACAAGTCTTCTCAAGCAGGGTTACTAAAACTAATACCATAAAAAAATCATTGCTTGAAATAAAATATTTAAAAACTTCAACCTCTTTCATTTCAGCTAGTTAACAAGGCAACATTATAGCCGTTTAAAAAAAAAAATTACTTAAACTAAAATGAAAAGGAAAACAGAATATATATATATATGTAATTCAAAATATTAAAACATATGTACATAAATCAGACTTCTGTTTGTCAGCTTCTCAAGTTTTAACTCACTGATTCAATTTGTTTGGGATTTTGTCCTTAAACATTAAATTATTCATTAAAATTATGCTTTTATTTATTAATGTCGAGCAAAATATTAAAATAGGTTGGAAAAGGGTTGTCAGAAGAAATGGAAATATTTTATGTCACTTTTCTCGACTTCAAAAAGGCCACAGCCTATTTATTTATTTACAGAGTAATTCTATTTTTTTTGTGGTGATTTGGGTCGCAATCATAGGTCGCAATGGGCAAAGCTCAAATTTAAAACGACATATGAATATTTAAAATAAAAACTAAAAAGTGAATATAACGTGAAGTTTATACAAATATTTTAAGGAGAAAATGTTATTAATTAAATAATGAAAATAATAATGAACTAAATACAAATAACATCGCATAAACAAAAACTAGACATAACGGACTCGTATGATATAAACGTCATGACGTCATGACACTACGCCGTATGCGTACAATCCAGCGCTGTACGCGCATTCCCGAAAACGTACGCCGCTATATTTCATGGCAACAGCTTGCGGAGCGGCAACCTTCCCTACTATAAACAACCTTTAGCGCGAGATTAACCGGCATTTCGTCCTCGCATTGCGTAACTCCTCTTTACCGGGTGCCGTTTAGTTATATTTAATTCAAAAGTGTGTATTTGTGAAGGGAAACAGGATATGGTTAATAATAAAGCGCAGGATTCACGTCCTTTCTGGTAGGCAGCAGGTTTATAGAGCCTTGCAGGGGGCAGTGGGTTGATCTGCTGGGCGTGAATGACAGAAGGAAGAAAGGAGATCGTAATCTTTTGGTAAGCATTATATACACTGCTTTTTATATATTATTCGACAGTATCTGATCTGATGAATGGTGGATTGTCGTGTCTGTCGCAATTGATGTGGTTTAATAGTTCTTTAAACAGTTGAGCTCGTCAGCTATTTTTGTATCTATCACTTGCTTTGAATCCCAGCTGATGCAACGATGTAAGTCTTTCCCAATTGACAGTTCATGCATGTTGCTGTGGTAACTGATCTGCTTATGGTCACATTTTGCATAATGTGCTGTATTTTGGCAAATATCAGGGTTTAGATGCATAGTGGGTTGTTTGACAGATCATATCTGATGCTTTCTGGTCCACCATAGCAGTTTCTTGGGGGTGATGTAGTGTAGTGGTTATAGATGGTAGGTTCAAACCCTGAAAAGACCAGGACGTTTAGTTTTAGATGCTGATGTCTGTACTGGTTTTAACTGTTTTTAACCTTAAAGCCTCCCTTGGTGCACCAGCTTCATTAGAAGGACCATGCTGGTTAAACAGCATTGTTTTTTGCTTAACAAAATGGTGTTACTTGTCTACCAGCTAGACAAGCACCAAACCAAATTTATTTGTAAAATCAAACGTGCTGGGATTTTATGAATGTGCATAAGCTAGGGTGACTACATGACCTCTTGTCCAGGGCAGGATTCCTAAATTGCTTACATTGTCCAGGTTGTGGCTTTGTTTTCCTATTGTTTTCATACTTGCTGAAAGTAATGGCCAATAGAGTGCAGGCATTATACATAATCGACCAACCGTGGCATGCGAGAAGGTGGGACCTACAGGGAACAGTCAAACCAATGCAAATTTTAGATATTTTAGGCAATTTAGAAATCCCGGCCAGGACATGTCCAGGAAAAAGAGGATGTATGGTCACCCTACATAAGTGCAAATGACATTTAAGAGCCACAATGGAAATTTTCAGTATATAAAATAAAAATGTTGTCCTGTTTCCAAACAAAACAATCATATGCTTTCAGTAGATTTGAAATATAGTTTATATATATTATATAGTCATATGGATTAGTTTTGTGGTCCTTTATTTGTCGTTTCTGATCTTGACCACTTCAGTCCTCATTGACATTCATTATATTGGCTTTATATATATACATACATATACATATATACATATACACACACACACACACACACACATATA